ATAAGAAAAATTGAAAAAAAAATCTCAGATGACGCATTTATTATTATTTATTACGCAAAGATAGGAATAAAAACATGATGATTTATTTTAAAAGTTTTTTTTTTTTATTTACATAACTACATAACACACAAAAACAAATCTATTCCACAGGAACTGTACATTTTTCCGGGATAAAAAGTAGCCTATTTGTAATTTAATTTAAGTTTTTTAACCATATTATTGTAAAGTTCATTAAAATTCAATCAGTAGTTTTTGTGTACTAAGTTGTATAAGTTACTATCGTTTTTAACTATCCTCCGGGAACTATTTAATTTTCCGGGATGAAAAGTATCTAAAAAGTTGACCGGAGATATAAGGTACCACTATGCAAAATTTTAAAATCGGTCCAACAGTTTCGGAGATTAGCCCGTACAAACATGTCTGTTTGTCTGTCGACAGAGAAACAAAATCATTGAAAAAAATGGATTTATGCCATTACTCTTCTTACATCCCCCTTTTTTCTATGTACAGATATTCGACCTTTACAGTTTTATTATATATATAGATGTCACTACGTTCCGTAGCGTCAGGTCTCAGGGACTATATTTTATATTACGATACCTTATGAAAAACACTACAGAATGTGCCGGGTAAATGAATATCCTACGAAAGTTGTAAAAAGTATGCATATAATATGTCTAAAAAAATTACGTCAATCCGTCGTTTTGTTACACAAACACTATTTCGAAATTCTAAATATTATAATAAAAACATATTTTTTTTAAATTTTAAATCATTTTTCTTTAAATGTGTAAGCCCTACATACAACTAAGTACTTTAATATCTAAAACTTGTTTTCGTGTGAACTTTAATATACTCTGATTTATTATTCTGAAGCGAAATAATAAAGCGAATATTATTTTCCAGCCAAAAAGATTGTAATAAAAGATTATTTTATAGGAAAAATTACATTTTTTGTGTTTATATTGAAACATAGTGACTTTTTCATTGTTATATTAACAAGTCTAGTTTATAAATTATCTCATCGGTGTATTGTGTTGGTCGATTTCGAAAACCTTAATTATCCTCATATTATGAATTTAACATACACTTAAACGTTACGGTTTAGTTAAAACTTTTTAATGTTTACTTAGAACTACTAATTATGTAGGTATATACGTGGCATGGCGAAAGTGGTCGCCATCTTAGAAGGAATAATAGTCTTCGTGGCAGTTACAAAGAAAGTTCCCAATAATATTCTTTTAATTAATATAGCTTCTATGATCTCTGTACGGAATTAATAGTTTTTCTGCCTTTATTTTCTTTCACTTATATATATATATATATATATATATATATATATATATATATATATATATAATATATATATATAATATTATACTTTGTATCTCTCCCGAAGATGATTATATTAGCGTTACGATTAGTTTAAGAAGCTTAGCTTTACTTAGGGATCTTGAAAAAGCAATTGTCATCACCCTAGGTACCTACTATTAGAAATGCTATTAGTATGTTATACCTTCACTTTGAAAGGGCTGGACGAATTTGCATAGATTTAGTACACTTATAAACTATGCTGCAAAACGTAGGTTGCTTGCTGTTATTAATAAATTTTGCCAAAAGGCTTTTGCTGCATGAATGTATGTATATATAATATTATAAATATGATAATGTTCTCCTAGCCGATTCCGGCCACGGCAGCCAATCTCATTGAGACTAGCCAACTGCGCAGGCGATATTATAGTGCATAAGTGAACGCGCAGACACAATGTGCTCTGTCTATTCCTGTCACTCTCATACTCCGGTGGGACAACTGCTCGACACGACCAGTGAGAGTTAAGGCGCAGGACCGACGGCTTCACGTGCTTTCCGAGGCACGGGGGTGAAACACCGCCAACTTCCCAACTCCCGGACTGTTACTGAGACTACTATACTATACAGAAAGACTCAATAACTAAACTTGGCCTGACCCGGGACTCGAACCCAGGACCTCCGAGTGTGCAGCCGTACATGCTAGCCACTACACCACCGAGGCAGTTAAATATAAAACATACTTAGTAAATAAGGGTAAGTCCTCGCAAAAATTTGAAAAAATCTAGATTTGTTCTATTTCTCTTCTTACATCCCTCTGACCCGGTTTTTAGCATTTTTTTCTATGTACAGACATTCGACCTCTACAGTTTTATTATATGTATAGATGTGAAAGATTAGATGCTTGGATGGATGTTTGTTATTCAATCACGCCAGAACGGCTGAACGGATCTGGATAAAATTTGGAACAGAGATAGATTTGTTTGGAACAGTACATAGGCTACTGTTTATCCCGTAAAAATGTACGGTTCCCGTGGGATAGATTTCTTTTATTCTTGTGCTAGAACTGTATAATTTAATGTATTATACTCGTATTTTTAAAAATTATATTCATTTCTTAATAGGACGTAGTTATGCAAAATGGATCCAGCCCACGAAAAGCGGTTTTTGAGTTACCGTTATAAATCGCACCTGCATATCAACTTATATATTTTCTCAAAACTAAGTTTTATGGTTGGATCTATTTTGCATAACTACGTCCAATTTCAATTAGTTTTATTTAGTCTGAGGTGTACCCTCTTCCAGGATTCAAACCCGTCATCCTTACTAACAATCATTTAGACAGAAATCGTGTAGGGATAAAGGAAAAAAATAAAAGACTTTGCTTCATCAAAAACATTGAACGCTATAATCAATAATCTAACAACATTTAAAGTGACCTAATTAAACAATCTACGCAAAAACAATATTTGTTATCTCAAATATACACTAACGTTTGTAAACCAACATGACAAATATTATGCGATGAAATATGTATTTTGAGTGTTACTACAAGAAAAAAAAGTTTTGATAAAAAATAAATTTGACACTTTAAATGGTAAATGATTGCTAAACGAAACATGAATATAAAATATTTTAAATTTTTACAGATTTCCTTAAATAACAACGGTCTTTACTTTGAAAAAGTATTTTTAAACAAAATTTTCAATGGACTACACTGTCTAAGTACTCGTCATTTAAAGTGTCTGCTATAAAATTTATATTTTACGACAAAATTATACATATTTTAAAATGAATAAACTTACCGGTAATAGTAAAACAAAAAATATTTTTACGTATTTTAAATTCTAACTTAACAATCCCTTTCTTAATTATATTGTTAAAAAAAGTTACATGGTTTTTTAAATGGGGCAATGATATGTAAATTTCGATACAATAAATAAAAGAAAATCCAGATGGGTGAATATTTTACTTAATGAATACATAATTTTACTTTTAGTAAAATAAAAGTTACTATTAAACAAAAAAAAATCAATATAATAATAACTTTTATTCAGTAATTAAAGCTAACATTGAATTTAAAGCTTGATATCGACTTATACCATAAACAATAGAAACAATGAATAATCGATTTTGTTCATATTTTTTTAAATATCTTATTACCAAAAACATCGATCTACTCAAAGTATGGAAATTATATATAAAAAAATTTAGAATTTCAAATAATGTCAGAATTACACTTTTTTAAAACCATATTTTGAGAAGATAGACTTAAACCTAAATAATTTCATTCTTGTCTCTAAACATTTTTAATTTTTATATTTTCTAATTTGTATCATCATATATTATAATATCGTCATTCAAAATGGATGAATTAAAACTTCAAAGTGACATTAACAACTAAGTATAAATAATTACTATACCTAATTTACGACATCTAATTTCTAAATCATTATTGCAAACTAAAATAAGAAACTTTTATTATCGAATGAAATAGTAATGTTTGAGGAATTAGCAATGGACCAATAGATAACAGCTGATTACCTGTTGAAAATTTTAAAACAATGTGGCGAAAAATTTTACTTATAAGATCATCTTTTATGACAATCATAAATCGTCATAAGACATATCTTTTATGTAAAATTTTTCGACTTTAATTTGTTTTAGTTTTCAATTTTGATGATGATGATGATGATGAAAGATTTAAACTAAAGCCAAAACTGACTGACTAAATATGATTTGATGCACTACAAGTATATCTAGTCATACTCAGTCACCTTAGCAGATAATGCAATAATAATTTCGCAATAGACGTTGTCTGAATGAACAGTGTAAACGACACAAGCAAGTAGCAACATTTATCATTTTATTTGTAAACGTACAAAAATCTAATCTAACAGCAACATGGACGTGAAACTAAGTTTATGGACCTCCGTATTTTAATATTGTCCATCATTGTGCATTGTTTTTACTTTATTATCACAAAGAAAAACATCAACTATGTAATCAAAATCGTTTACAAATTTCAATATTCTCTTTAAAATGCCTCCACTAAATTTGAGCATCAAATCTGAAATTCCTTATTTATTATACAATTGGTAAATATTTACATAGCATAATGCCGTATTATAGAAAAAACATCAATTATATTTTAAGTCTAATATCTGTATATGAAAACACACATTTAACTACGTTTGCTGTTGTACATAAATGCTATAAATAGAAACCCTTATATAATTATGTTCAATTCTATGATATTCCGTGATGATGAGCGTCTAATGCCTTCTAAAATTGAAATTATTCTTCTCGAATCCCAATACCAAAGTGCTCTACTTAAACATTATCACAGGCTTCCGCTCCTGACCCTGAGGGTCGTAAACAACATTGCACCTTAATTTCAATGATTCAAAGACTATATTATATAATTTTAGTTAAAACGAACTCTGTTCCAATTACACTAAAGATATTTTTATATTTTTTATTTAATAAATTTCGTATATGAAAACACATTTTCCAAAAGTCTTTACTTCGAAACTGGTCGGGGGTTCCACAAGGCGCTACATTAGGCCTTATATTGTTCCTTTTGTGTATCATTGGAACGAACAAATTTATTTCCAAGAGGGTAGATAGGTTTTGGCGGTGGTCGCCTAACAGTCATGCGGCCACCTAGATGGGTGGCCGGCTACGGATCACATGACGCAACAACTCTTCGCCCTTCCTTTCAGCTCAGCCTTCAAGTCGCGCTTGCTCTTACTGCGCCCGACTTGCTTCTGGTAAAAAACAATATAATATCATTTTTCACGATTATGTATCATAAATTATATTGGTTTCTTAATATATTTTATTACTTAATTAATTAAATTGTATATATATTTTAAATTAGACTATCTTTTTAGATTTTATCGCGGATTTAATGTATATTTTCCCTAAAAGAATATACATATTATATATGTCTGTCTTGATTACTAAATACTGAATAACGAAATTTCCATTATAATTAAAAAATATATGACATGCGTAACGCGTTGTGTTTACCTGTGTGAAGCCAGCGGGGGCGCTAGTGAATAAAAATTATAATCAAACTAAATAATAATTTATTTCATTATATAAGGCTTATGCCTTCGGCTTATTCATCTAAAACATTCCTTTCACACAATTTGAAATAAAAATATTCAATGTAGAAACTCGATCTTCAATACATTTCATTATTTAGTACGAGTATATGTAGGTATCCCTCCCAATTATAAAGGACAAAATTAAAAATATATAAAAATGTAGTGACTGAAGTCTTGTAAGCGAATTTTTAATGAGTTTGCTTGTAAATTTTATGTTTATGTATAACAATAAGGATGCGAATAAAATATATAACTATATACTGCATTTGACCAGCGTGGTGTACTATAGGCGGGGTGTATGACCTGATCCCTCTAGTATTGAAAGGAGGCCCTTGCTCAGCAATGGGATGTGAAAAAGGCTGAATATATTTCAAAAAATATACCTGTTGCTTCATCTGTTGTTTATTTAGTTTGCCTAGTGCCGCCAGAGCCGCCACTTCAAAAGCATCTTTCACGCCCTTGCTGGACGCACGTGCGGATGTCTCCACATAGGTCGTTGCTCCAAGCTGTCTTGCTACTGACAGAGCCTGACGCAAAAAAAGTATTTAGTTAAAGTTTTATACTGCAAAAATAAAATAAAAGAGCAATAATTAAAAATAGGGAAAGACTGATCTGCACAGCGAGGGTTCCATAGATTAACAAATTAAAATATGCCGTGGTTGTAGAATTTTTTGCGGATTTATTTTATTATTTTGTTTGTCTTCATAATAATCATGTCATCTCTCCCATGACCATGATTGTTGTTGAGAACCAAAAATCTAAATAAATCCTCAAAAAAATATTTCTATCAAAATGTCAAACATTTGAGTATTGCGGTAAAATGTTGTTTTACATTATATTATGATTTGCTATATTTTTGTTGTAACATGCGTAATATTTTAGAATTATCTAACGGTACAGATGGGACACCTACTTGTCAAATCTCAGCTAAATAGCTCAAATAGTCCCTAAGTAAAATGATACAGATAGACCAGACTTGCCTTGCCTTTTGACAACGAAAAGTAAAACATAAAAAAACAAGGCAAAGTCATGTCTTTAAGATATTCTTAGTCTTTTACAAAAATGCAAAGGTTTAGAATGTTAGGTTATATGTACATACATACATATATATTTTTTTAAAACGTAAAACGTACGTGTTTTAATAATTAATTATAGAGGTAAAATGAATTTCAGTAATATGATGATCAGGATAGTGTTTATTTTGGACAGCTCACTAGGAGGTTAAGTTTGATAGGTTTGCCATTCAATTGTTACTCCTGTTTAGAAACTCCCAAAACTAAAATAGATCAACAGTAGAGATGAGTCTCTGTCTTCAACACACGGTAGAATACACATAAACAAGCTATTTATATAACTTTATTTACATGCACACAATGATCTATTGTCTGCAAATCCCTCGACTATAACTAAATACCCAGTTCAACTGGTATTATGTTTCGAATTTACCTCAAATGAGAAAATTTACATAATTTTGCTTCCTCATTTTGTTGATATTGTGGATTATTCATAGCGTGTACAAATTGACGATTAATCATTAGTTAGATCAATTGTGAGTAGTTTCTTAGATGTGACATTTATTAGTATTAATGTTATTTTATTGTATATGTTCATTATTGATTTTCAATTTATATCCTACTATTATTTACTATTAGCGACCCGTCACGCCTTTGCTCAATAAATCCACATCAAATGACATACATTTTATTATATATATATATAGACCTATACTTAATTTGCAGCAATTTTAAAGTACTTTTGGAAGCCATCAGAGGCGATTTCCTTTTAGTAATACACTTAGGCTTAATATAAATATAAATAACCTTTATTTTATTGTTTATCTAAAGAATAGTGTTATTTAAAATCGAAGAGATTTTTCGGAAAACAAAGCATACCTATATTAAGGGAATATTAAGGGCTAAACGATTTACCCTCACTTTGCTCTGATTCGTCCCTTTATTGGGGTCTTTTTATCATATATTTTATTGCTTTATTTCGAACAGTTTAGGCAGTGTATGCAAATAAAGCTACTCAACTGCCAATATCTTCCAATTTTAAATAAAGTAATTTTAATTTCTAACTGTATTTTTTTTAATCGAAAAAAATTGCTTATAGCACTCGGTGATGATGTAGCTTCCTACCAGTGAAAACGAATTCGAAATTGAATCAGTATATTCACTCATAAACTAACAACATTTCTCACATTAGTGCAATGAAGGAAACACGTATACGAGATCTTTAGTGTGGAGTCACTATCACATAAAATAAATTTAGCTACTACATGGAGTAAAATATATGGTGTAAAACAACTTTTAATATTTAGATAAAATGTAATGTAATATGTGAAATCTACTATCACACTATTTGGCTCGAATGCCTCGAATTAATTGAAATAATTGAACAGTGACCTAAATTGTTGGTGTCAATTGTCTCGTAGAATCTCATTGGAATGATATTCAAAGTATTTTATCTATGAAATGTTTGAGTTCATTAGCAGAGACCACTTTTTGCATATTCCTTTGCGGCCTGGTAATATTATAATTGAATAATTTTGGAACTTGCGAAATTTCGACCATTATAAAATATTTTATATTAATCATAAATTTTATTTAACTGCATATATTTGGTATTTAAATTACATTCATCAAAACTAAATGTGTCCGATATTAGAATTAATTGGAATTTAGAATCTTTATATATAATATCTTTATAGGCGCCAGGCGGACAATGTTAGGTGGTAGAAACCGAATGAAGCGGGTTCAAATTCTGCGTCTCGCACCTCTGATATTTTCATGTGTGAATCATTTCCAGCATGATTACTACTTGTCTTACTGTGAAGGAAAACATCGTGAGAAAACCTGCATGTCTGAAAGAACTTAGCAAGTTTTTGAAAGATATGCTCAGTCCAACTTTAGTTTTTATAACTTGGCTTGTTAGCTAGACCATTTATCAGTTAGACCAATGTCCAGTCATAATTTTATGGAATAATAGCAGTATGTACGACTTATTATTTTTGTTGGGCTAATCTTACACCGCGATGGGTCGATACGATAAGAAGAAGAATAAGGAGTAGTGATTATTATGTTAAAATTAAGGGGAAGCTAGATAAGTATTTGTCAATTCTAACACTAACCTCTTCGCTGGTGACTGGATGTGTTCTTAGCTTGGACAGCATGGTTAGGGTTTCCTTGTCATGTCGGAGATCAGCTTTGCATCCACACAGCAGCACTGGGGCGGAGCCTCCGTGAGTGCGTACTTCTCTGTACCACTGGAAAATAAATCGGACTTTTATTATAAGCTGGCAATTTACTCTCGCTTCGCTCGGTGCGTTCCTGGGTACGTTTTAATTCGTTTTTGAGCGGAACCCTAATTATTTTTCTAAAATAAAAGTAGCTGAAGTTACTCCTTATAACATCAGCTATTTGCCAATGAAAGACCTGTCAAAATCAGTCCAGCCGTTTCGGAGATAGCCGGATCAAACAGACAGACAAACAAAAATTTTTAAGTTTATATTATCTGTATAGATATGATCAATTTTATTTATTTGTATAGTTACGAGAGATTCTACATGTATATGTGTATGTATGTTTTTTAATTCTTCACGCTGAAGGCTAGACAGATTTGGATAAAATTTAGTATATGGATAGATAGAGTAACATATAGCCTTCTTATAGGCACCGCGGGACACTACGCTAAGTAGTTCGCTAGAAATTATATTTTAGTGTCAAGATTTAAGCACAATAGTAACCTACACCATAGTCTCCGTTTTTTTTATATGGTAATAAAAAAATTTTTTTATATGGTAATACAAAATTTATTGTGTAATCGAAATTTATTTTAAAATATATCCAAAAATAACATTAATAATTGAATTAATAGTATAAAAAATGTTTTAAACATAACAAAATCGAAAGTGCATAATATTTAACACCATTCAGACAAAGAAAGACAATAGCATTCCCAAGGAGGGTTGACGTCAGGCAGGCGGCCGGTCGTAAAACTTTTGCCAAATCCTATCAGCAGTACACTGAAGATGTACTGCGCCGACCCCAAGTGATTTGGGAAATGGGCAGGGAGAAGAAGAGAAGAAGAAGAATAAAAAATGTGTAATATATTCCACAACATACAGTACCTATTTAATTAATTAATATTTATTGCTTCGCATTTAAGACTTTGATGTGCACTTGGTATAAGTTTTCATTGCACTTCTTTTAAAGCGATATTCTTTAAATCTTTTCCAATAAAACATGTAATGGTCTACTTGCACAGTTACCTTTCAGTTTTATGTATTACTACCGTTTACCCTCAGTTCCACCTAGATATGTCTTTATAACTCCACTCCTAAGGGTCGTAAACTATACTTATATTATAAAGAGGCAAAGTTTGTGAATTTGTGAGTTTATGACGTTGTAGGGGGGTACTCTTTGGATCTACTGAATCGATTTAGATAAAATTTGGTAAGAAGATAGTTGGAGACAATGAAAAGGACATAGTATACTTTTATTCCGGAAATTATCGCTTAAGGGGATGACGCTAATGAGCCACCTCACCATGACAAGGTGAACACACGTAGGGTTAGTAAACATATCACCTGAGTAACACAAATTAAACAAAAATTTGTATTTATCGCACTTTTCTGCAAAATTTCTATCATACATTCATACATTATAGATAAATAAACTCCGATATCAGTAAAATAAAAGGTTACCCATCGTGGTTTCTGAGAATCATTGCTTTGAATCGGATTTTCTTTAAGGGGCTTTTTACTATCATCTTATTTGCTTAACAAGATCCACTGCTATGTCCGCTTTGAAAATATTCTCATGGATAAAGCCATTTCTTCCTTTACTTTTATATAAAAAAACCTAGACAGCCAAATCAGATATCAATTTAATAAATTTTAACGAGGTAAAGACATTTTTTTTTAATTTGTATTTTACTAGCAAGACCTTTGGCTTCGCGCTCATGTTAAAACTACAAAAAACGAATCATTGGCTGTATGTTATAAGTAATTAGTCAGAAACCCTCTTAATGGTAAAATTAAAAAAAAAAAACCTTTCTAAGTTGATACGTACACCCTTCAAATTTCATGTCTCTAAGATCAGTTTAGACTGTGCGTTGATATATCAGTCAGGTATCGATAATAATGATTATTTCAATAACATTTTCTAAACAATATTTAATGTACAGATTTGACTCAGAATTTTATTATACATACATACATACGCACCTATAGGTAATCTATAAATGATAGAATAATACTATATATTAATTAAGTTATATTGAAATTAATTAGTTTCGAATTCGATTAACAGTTCTACTATTCACCTTATGATTCATATTAGATCGTTTTGATAGAATTATTGTACCTTTAGTATGTTGTAAAACTGACTTCTAAGACAACACAGTCAAAGTGTACTTAACAAAAGCGTGATAAAAATAAAGAAAATTTTTCACTACGAGCAATATTTCTTTTAAAGGAATATAAAAATAAATTGTTTTGTGTTGCTCAGAAACAAATTTCCGTTTTACGGCGGAAACAGTAGTGTCGATACTTTCTGGCGTAAAGTCAGTGTAAAATTGACTTCCTTTAGTGACATGGTATTAGTTCTCATGCTGTTAAAATGGTGGATCAAATTCTTTCAAATTTGAATGCAAGATATAGCCTTAATTTTAAAAACAAAAAGGAATTTAGAAAAATAAATAAAACAAAAAAATCATAAAATGACACAGACAAGAGACTTTAGTGTTCGTATACTCAATAAAAATTGGCGTAAAATTCGTGACAAAGGAAATCGTAAGTTGCCTGGGGGAAAAAGGCTTATATTTAACAATATTTAAATGTTTTTTTTTTCGGTTATATAAATTTATTTATTATTTTATTATTATAATAACTTATAGTATATATTTTATTTTTTTAATTTTTATAAAAATAAAAGAAATGGGTATGTAAGCGTAATGGAAAAATATTTAAATGTAAGATGTCGTTTCAGCAAGCTATATTATGGTGTTTTGAATGATGAAGATGAGTCCAAAAAAAAAACTAAATAATAATCCCAATTTAAATAAATTCTGCTAAACATCATCAAATACTTCCGTTGCAAAAACTTCAATTGTTTAGTGCTCTTTATAAGAGCAGTCTTGTCTTTGTCATTAAACTGGTCACAGTGTTCAAAATAGGTAAAAAATATAGCCCACGTTTTGATACGGTAAGTAAATATTACAAAGGTGAAAATTTGGATGCATGAATGTTTGTTACTCAATAACGCCAGAACGGCTGAACCGATCTGGATGAAATTTGGTAAAGAGATAGATTATAGTATGGAATAGCACATAGATTACTTTTTATCCCGGAAAAATATACGGTTTCCGTGGGATAGTTTCGTTTTTGTTTTTCATAGCAAGGGATCAACTATCTATTCCATACTAACTCTTAAAACGTAACTACGGACGTCGAGCGAATATAATAGTTAAAATAAAAAATAAAATAAATACACATGGTCAAATTTTATAATTTTCGATACTTATTACCAAATGAGTCATATCAATTTATTCTTATAGGTTAAGGCGAATGCAAGGTGGGTAGAACAATGCGAGGGCCATGAATAAATATATGTTGTTCACTTAGTACGATTAAGTAATTCCCAAGCTATTAAAGTTATCTCCCATATAAATAGATAAGTCACTTAGATTATTTTGCTTCATTGGTCTAGTGGTTAGGATATTTATCTGCAGATCTTGAGGTTCGAGTCCCGGATCAGTCAAAAATAGGATCTACATTAAAAGAAGAACAGACTATGACAGGGAACACTATAATATCTCATATACACGAAATGTTAGTACAAATGAAATTATATTCTGAGGTCGCCGTGGGGGAAGTTCGGTCAGAAGGACTTTACATCAAAATAATTGGCCGTGTGGAACATAATATGTTTTAAGCATTATTTATTATCTACAATTTAACTTTAAATTAATTATTTTTCAAATAAAATAAACATCATTAACAATGGTCTTGCTCGAAACTAAAAATCTAAATAAATCCTCGAAAAAAACCGTCAAACATTGACGAAAGTCTCAGAATGTATTATTTTTATTTTTTAACATTGTTATTTTAAATTTTATATCGGTATAATAAACATTTTAGCCAACAAATTAAAGTTTATAGCTATTTTTTCTAGTTATATATGAAACCAATACATATTGTGTATTTCTTCAAAACACTAAAGAATAAAATTGAGCTATCACAAGTTTAGCAACTTTTTTAAATTCTTTAAAACGTATGCCCTACGGTTTAAAATTTAAAAAGTTTTAAATTATCTATACTAATCTATACTAATATTCTAAAGAGGTAAAGTTTGCGAGTTTGTGAGGTTGTAGGAGGTAATCTCTAGATCTACTGAACCGATTTAGATGAATTTTGGTAAGAAGACATTTGAGACCCTGGGAAGGACATAGGATTTTATCCCAGAAATCATCCCTTAAGGGGGTGAAAATGGGGATGAAAGTTTGTATTGGGAATCAAGCTAGAGACGAACCCGAGAGATGCGAGGGTGACTCGCTTGCTTGATATATTTGTGGTAATTGTGTTCTAATTTTTAACCGACTTCCAAAAATGTAAAAAATAATTAAACGGGGGTTTTCATTCAGAATAGATACCTAATCGGATATTTACGAAGTCGGTGCCAGCCGACAATATTTTAAGATATGAATATCTAATAGGTAAATATGTATTTCACGTATCGAAATATATTAGATTTGCTTTGCACCGGCTGGCACCGACTTCGAATATATCTGATTACGTATATGTTCTAAATGAAAACCCCCGTTTAATTATTTTTTACATTTTAGTGCCTGGATGTTGGTTTTTTAAAGTTTTTATCAATATTACCTTCACAGCTGCATTGTTTAAGGTTTCTGGTTCTGCGATGTTGAAGCACAGCATAAATATTTTAGCGTCTTGATACGCGAGCGGTCTCACAGTGTCATACGCTGTGGTGCCTGTGAAAGAAAATCAATATTTAGTTACGGTTTAAAGAGCAGTGTATAAGTGAAGACTTTTTTACTGTACATCTAATAACATTATTTTAGTTATTTTATATAAATAAATAAATATGTTGGTACATTAACACACATCACCATCTAATTTCATGGTAACCATCTAGTTTTATGAGTTTATAATCATAGCTGAAAACGCTAAGTCACTATTTGATTTATTAATGCATTTTTTTTAATATTATGTATATATTTTTAGTCAATATGTATGTTTGTATTTATTAAAAAAAATGACAATTCGCGGGTTAATTTCTATCCAAGCAATATAAACATAATAGCCCGAAAATAGTCCGAATTCGGGCTGTTCGATTTTTTTGTATGGGATGGGGTTTCTGTATTTTGTACTAGTATAATATAATGTTATCAGTATACGTGATAAAAAACAATAGGTTATAATAACTTCACCGAGCTTAACTTGCTATGGGAGAGCCAATTTAGAATGAAACCTCATGTTTGTTTTTCACATCATGATATCCAATTTTATTACAAGAAAATTATTTAAAATAGCCTCTTAGAGGACATTGTTGTTTACATAAATAATATTTATGTTTCTAGGTTAGTGTTCACTATCAGACGTAACTTTAAAAACAAATTGATCTTATCAGTATTCAAATATCAGATAGCATTCTACACCTAATCCCGATAAAGAACGGAAGTTAGTCATTAAAATTAAGTCGGTGATGTAAGTGTTGTTTTGCATGTACATAATTGTTTATTATATAATTAGTAGCTCACCCCACAAACATTGTTCTGCCAAATAAATTATCAAAGAAATCTAACGTAAGATATAAAAGTACTAAAATCGCGATTAAAAAGTGGGGGGTGTGGGTAGGAGGGTGAAAAATATCTATTCTCATACCTACCAAATATACAAAAAAAAAAAATCATTAAAATCGGTCGAGCCGTTTCGGAGGATTGCGACCACAAACACCGTCACACGAGATATTTATATATGTATTAGATTAGTTAAATGATGTATACACAGATTATTGCTTAACATCATGTGGTACCCTTTTTTTTTTTTTAACGTTGGAAAATGCATTTACGCACGAGGTGTGGGACTCACCGGCAAACCCAGTACTACCCACTAAAACCCAACAAAGCCTTCCCCCGTCTTAATGGGGCGTCGCAGGATCGCTTACACATTCAATTACGACGCCCCGACGGCAGGTCTGCCTAAGCAGACCACAACAACCATGGGGTTGCTCCAAGGTCCACTCTGCTATCAGAGAAGTACCAGGAGCAACCCGCATGGTACCCCGCCCCCCGAAGAGGGCCACCTCCCACCGCCCACCGAAGTGGGCCACCTCCCTGTGCGTTTCTTGGCTTCGCGCCCGGTTGGGTTGCCGGGCACTACTGAGCCCCCCCACCACGACAAGGTGAACGCATGTTGGGGGGGATCATGTGGTACCCTAGTAGCAATGTGGTTGCTTAAAAAAAAAAACCGAGTGAAGCAGGTTCAAATCCCGGGTCTCACACCTTTAAAATATTCATGTGCGAATAATTTCCAATATGATTAGCATTGTTTTACGGTGAAGGAAAACATCGTGAGGAAATCTGCATATCTAAGAGAACTTAGCGAGTTTTCTAAAGACATGTGAACTCCGCCAACCCGCTCTTAGCCGTGGTGGATTATGGCGTAATCTCCCTCGTATTAAAAGGCCTATGCCCAGTAGTGGAACGTTAAAAATGGCCGAATACAATGAAATGAAAAAAAAAAATATCTAGCGAAAAAAAATCTGGACCAGGCGCTACTGTGAAAATGATTAATGTAAAATAAGTTGGCAATTGAAAAAAATGTAAATATTTAACCTATAAATTACATATAAGCATGGCTTACATTAAACAATGTTTTTTTTTTTTTAATCTATTTTTATTTAGGGACTTCTTAGCAACAAAGCTAAATGTCAGTCCCATCGTTCCCTTAAGACATGTATACCACTAATAATACTAGTACCTCTAATTATAACTTATTTTAACTTAAATTGATATACAGTTTTAGCTATCTCTGAGTTAGGTTTAGACAGTGCGCTTTGAAAAACTCCCACATCATTCCAGCAAACGTTAAAACGGCGCATCAACTCCTGTCTCCTATCCGCGTTACGAACACATTCCACTAAGAAATGATGCACATCTTCCTCTACACTGCATAAATTACAATTTGGAGAATTAGATTTTTTCATTAGAAACATAAATCTGTTAAGTGGATCGTATCCCGAACGCAGCCTAAGAGCCATTAAACAATGTTTGAAAGATATTTTTTTATCTACTATCCAATAATAACAAAGGTATAAAATTTAAGAACAGTACAGTACTTTTTTCTCCTCTGTCAAACGATTTTTTTTTAAGTAGCTATCGACGAACTTTACTGCTATCAATAAAAAAGTTTACCTCTATTTAATAATGATTATGATCTGATAATCATTATAATTATAACAGAACTAGCGACTCACTCTCGCTACGCTCGGGTTCATCCATAGATAGCTAGTAACGGTTAGTATAGATTTCTCAGAGATGAGATATTTTCCCGCAATAAAAAGTATCCTGTATGTTAAGCCGGATAACCAACTATTATCATATCAAATTTCATCAAAATATGTCCAGCGGTTTTCCCGTGAGGCGTTCCCAGACAGAGAAACAGACAGACAAAATTTTGAAATCTAGATTCGGCCTTTGTATCAATAATAATGACTATTTCAATAAGATTTTCTAAAAAATATTTAATGTACAGATTCTACTCAGAATTTTATTATATGTATAGATGAAAACATGTTCGTAATAATAAAATCCTTGCCATATTCAGCTACCCGGATGGAGGACCTGCATACAAGTTTTTACTCGTCACAAAGAAATGACCCGTATCAGAATCGCCCGGACATCGTTTACTGTCCACTAACGGCAGATGCTTCTTTACATACTACATTCCTATGCATAAAATAGAAACCATAGCTAATCTATAGTAATCTATACTAATAATATAAACAGGTAAAGTTTGTCAGTTTGTGAGTTTGTGACGTTGTAGGGGGTAATCTCTGGATATACTGAACCGATTTAGATGAAATTTGGTAAGGAGATAGTTTGAGACCCTGGGAAGAACATAGAATACTTTTTAGCCCGGAAATCATCCCTTAAAGGGGTGAAAATGGGGACGAAAGTTTGTATAGCGAATCAACATAGGGACGAACTCAAGCGAAGCGAGGGTGAGTCGCTAGTAATATTATAAAGTTGAAGAGACAATACTTTTTTTGACAAACTTATTTAAAGTTTTGATAAGTAGGTATGCTGCTTTGAAAATCAACTAGATTAAAGTATTGCCATAAAACTTTTGAATCATTGCTTAATATGATTTGAACCGTGTTAAGAAAAACCCCTTTCTTGAGCTAAGTTACTAGTGACGAATTACATGAAATGAAACCGCGCTCGATGTGTCCTTTAGTAAATTATCATTCTATCTTACTAATATTATAAATGTGAAAGTTTAGATGTTTGGAAAGATGTTTGTTACTTAATCACGCCAGAACGGCTGAACGGATTTGGATGAAATTTGGCATAGAGATAGATTATAGTCTGGAATAGTTACTTAAAATGATAAAAAGCTAAATAAAATAGGCTACTTTTTATGCCGGAAAAATGTACGGTTCCCGTGGGTTTGTCTTTGTTTCTCTAGAGGCGAACTCAAGCGAAGCGAGCGTAAGCCGCTAGTAATGTTATAATTAATGCGAAAGTTTTATATGTGTGTATGTTTGTGTACTCCATCACACTAAAACGACTAAACGGAATTAAATGAAATTTGATTGATTAAGACCTGGAGTAGCATATAGGCTACTATTAGTAATAAAAACGCCAGAAGTTGGCGCCACCTGTACATTATATTATAAATACAAAAGTAAGGATCAGCGTCGCTAGTATGATGATATTATAAAGATATTAACTTATAAAACGCTCTAGATAAATGTCAGCTTACATGTTTTTATGATAAGTGTCCCACGAGTAATGCCGTTTGAACGCACATATATATTAAGAGTAATTTACAGTTAAAATTAACTAACTGTTAATGGAGTGTGAACGCTATATACTTTATAGCTACACTATTTATTGCTTTCGACTTTGTTTGCTAAACTATAAAATTGCTCGTAAAGTGCCAAAATGTAGAGTACGGGATAGTAGTAACAGATAAAGCGTGTAATTTCTTCTCTAAGAGTACTAAAAGCAAATATATATATATATATATATATATATATATATATATATTATATATATGTTTATTAACAAAAAACGTGTACTCATTTTAGGGGTGTTTATTTTTCTTGAAATATATATGAAACCTTTGAATTCACATTAAGAAACAAATATATGGATTAACGTATACAAAAGTATACAATCGAATTAAGTACGTTGTCGTCAAAAATTATAATGTCATATAAAAATATTAAAATTGTCTGCCGAAACCCGGGATTGAACCGGGGACCTTTAGATCTTCAGTCTAACGCTCTCCCAACTGAGCTATTTCGGCGATAATACGTTTACCGAATATGTAGTAAGTACTATATCTTTAAAATAGTATATTATCAGTAAATTTGATTGGTTTGTTTTATCTACATTGAAAGATAACACCGTGAAAAAACTTGCATATGTGAGAACCTAATTAGTTTTTAAAATATCGTATGTGACGCCAGGGCGGTGAACTATAGCCTGGTCCCCCTAGCGTTGACAGGAGGCTCGTCCCCAGTTACAATTACAAATTTACGTTTTTAATCCCCGACGCAAAAAGAGGGGTGTTATAAGTTTGACGTGTCTGTCTGTGTGTGTCTGTCTGTCTTCCCGAACGGATGAAGCGATTTCAATTTAGTTTTTTTTTGTATTAAAGGTGACTTATGTGCAAGTTTTCTTAGACATGTTTGATGAAAATCGTTTCAGCCGTTTAAAAGTTGTGTAGGGTGAAAGTG